AAAAAAAAAAAAAAAAAAAACTTATTTGAATATAAGAAACTTATTTGAATATAGGAAGCTAGTGTTTTAACCATAAACATTCTCATAAAAGCTTCTTCTCATAACTAGTGTTTTAACATTCTCTTTTTTGTTAATACAATAAAAAATAAAACAATTCAGGCATCTGAAGACAAGAATGCAGGCGGCACAACCTCGTCTGCTGTCCGAAAAGCCGAGGATGTCGTGAGCAGCATGCTAGCCAAGGGCTTCGTCCTTGGAAAAGACGCCGTGAACAAGGCCAAGGCCTTTGATGAGAAGCATCAGGTCATATCCACAGCCACAGCCAAAGTTGCCTCACTCGACCAGAAAATTGGCCTTAGTGAGAAAATCACTACTGGGGCTGCCATTGTCAACGACAAGGTCAAGGAGGTTGACCAGAAGTTCCAAGTCTCTGAAAAGACGAAATCGGCCATTGCAGCAGCCGAGCAGACCGTGAGCACAGCTGGCTCAGCCATTATGAAAAACCGATATGTTTTGACCGGAGCTTCGTGGGTTACCGGGGCTTTCAGCAGGGTTACTAAGGCTGCTGGTGAGGTTAGCCAGAAGACGATGGAGAAAGTGGCTGAAGGCCAACCTGGAAAACATGTGTCAGAAGGTTATGCCGAGATTCAGACATCATCGGGGTCTCCGAAGGAAAGCACTGGTGATAAGAAGAAGCCCTCGTCTCCAAAGGGATTGATTCTCTGAGTTGTGTTAGGGGAGATGGAATAATGAACTTATGTATATGCGTTCTTATATGTGGTTGGGTTGTGTAAGGCTGAGCCCCTTGCCCACAAGAAAATTAGTTTGGTTAGTGTCTTGTTTTTTCATAAGGTTTTGCGATTTGGGTTTGAACAGAAGATGGATTTTATTCGGGATGCTTGGTAGTGAATTGAATACGTTTTTTTATTTTTATTATTGTTTAATTGTTATTTTTATTTGTATCCCTAATCCATATCGAAGTGAATTTCACACTTGTGTAGGATCGAATGTGCCCCATTCCCCTTTTCCATTTTCATATTTGTTGCCTCTATTAATCTATTTTAGACAATTATTGATCTTTGTTTTGTGATTTCATTTTCCTATTTATTTCTGGAATTCATCCTTTTTTTTTTTCTTTATTCAATTCTAACATCATGTGGGTGTGTGATAATTTATATAACATAATTTATCTCCTTAATTACATAATTTCATTTCGATATTTCTAGTTTTACATTCGATTTTTTTACTGAGGTTGATCCCGAGTTAAATAATAATGTTTTGGTAATTATTTTAAATCAAAAAACAATCATTTGAAGAGTATTATTTAGAAATACTTAATTTTTATATTAAACTCTCGTTAATCTATTCCATGACCAACAAAAGAAATGCTTAGTTGGAGTATAACAAGTTAAAATAAGAATTTATATATTAGATGATAAAGTTAAAATAGTGAATAGCCAAAATGTAACATAAACCGACCTTAGCTCAGTTGGTAGAGCGGAGGACTGTAGTTGGCAATGAACTTGCAGTGTATCCTTAGGTCGCTGGTTCGAATCCGGCAGGTCGGATTATTTTTTTCTTTTTCTTTTGTTTTTTTAATTCTTGGAATTGGAATCATCATTAAAGTGCAAAGAGATATATAACTAAAATTTCACACTGTTGTCGTCATCATCAACATCTGCAGTAGAGCTATGTTTTTGTTTTCTAGTCTGTAGCTACTCGTGTAGACATTGATAAATTTTAAGCTGCAAAACCATGCCAGAAAGTAGCTATATTTGCGTTTTCTAGTTTGTAGCTACTTGTGTAAACATTGATAAATCCTAAGCCTCTTTGAGACCAATGACGATGCACTTATAAAAGCTTCAATCCACCTGTTACATCATCGACTAGGTCGGCTGGCCCTGTACAAATACAATAGGAGAATTAAAATAAGTTTACCGAAAAAGAACTTAATTGTGTGGAAATTTAATATTTGTCAGATGGTTATAGGCAAAAGAAAGAAAATATACCTAAAATTGCCATTACTGTCCTTGAATCTGGAAAAAGAGGATGGAAATGCGTTAGTTGATAACGGGAATTCCAGACTTTAAGATATCCTTTTTTTCATAAATTTAACACCGAAAACAGTAAGTTCAGAGACACCAAAACTGGCAATACACTTTTGATTTTATTTCCCTCTTTAGCTAAACCATTGAAGTATCACAAGAAGTGAGAGCTAAGTACATTAAAACAGGCCGGAGATAAATATGAACTCACTTGGAGCAATCTGTGTTCTCCCAGCATCGACTGTAATATGAGTTGGTAAATTAAGCGATTTAGCCCTTTCCTGCATGAGCAAGGACACAATAGTTATGCCATGGACTTAAGTGAAGATCAATGCTGTGCTACCACTAAAACTGTATGTACGAATAGTTGGTTAACAAAATGACACTGGGGCCATGATTTAATTTTTATCGTGAAAAAAAAAGGTATTAGAACATAACACAAAGGACAGTGTTCAAATGCGAATAGCGAGTTAGTTATATTCCTTCTAGCCTGGATTATTTCATCATAAGTAAAAAGTAAACAAATATTTTTGTAACGGTAATAGAAGTTCAATCTTCGAACTATTGCAGCTAAGAAAGATATCAACATATCGACATACTCGAGGGGTCAGAAATTTAGGCAAAGCAACTCTGATAATTACAAAATGATGTTAATTTGACACATGAGGGTTTATCTGTAAAACAACCCTGACATTAAAGCATGAAATAGATGGTAATTATCAGATTGAAATAATTTTATCCCTCTAGATTCCAGTTTCTTTCTGGTTCGGATGATGTCCAATTTTCTATTTCCTCTAATCAGATGGAGAAGAGTTGCGCTTCAGAATGCGTAAGTTAATGCTTGAGGGTACAAAATTTCTTGAAGCGTAATTCTCACAATTTCTAACTTCCGTGTTATCTACATCAATCATGTTGTCTTACCCATAGCATTATTACTTTTTTCTTTTCGTTTTTTTTTTCTTTTCTTTTCTTTTTTTGTTCTTTTTTTACTATCATAGGCAATGATACAATAGGCAAAATCAAACACTTCACAAAACAAAGGAGAAAGACAACTTTTGATGCTAGTCTGACCTGTAAAACAAGCATGTCGTCTTCACTTTCAATTTTCACGACAACCTTAACCTGCCCGCACATCTCCCATCTGCATGTTATGTCTATTTTGTAACCATACAAAGTGTAATGAAGCATTTGCAGTAAAATGTAGATATATACCTGTTTAAAGACTTTGGTGCACGGTTAAGGATTTTCTTGTACAGCCCCAATGTGGCATGGCTACAACCAACAAAGTTAATTGATTAAGAGGCTGCCTTCCATGTGGGGACATAAACCAGCATGCAAAAACATGAATCAAACTTTGTTCATAAACTTCCACAAGAACAATCATACAAATATCTGTCCGATGAACAATCAATACTTAGTACTCACACATATCAACCGAGGCAAATACAACAAGTAGTTTCAGGAAATTAAGAAAACAATACAGATTTCAGTCACTTTGATTACAGAAAGCCTCTGATTTTGAAAATTCCTTCTTATAATCGAACATAGTTACTACTTCTTTTCTCATCCAATGCATACAGTCAGAATAACATTTATGGGGAGAACAGCATCACTTGTTGAAAGCAAAAATTAAATACAATTTAAAGACCAGATAAATCTTCGAATACTATCACTCCATCTCCACCACATGATCACATTCAGTTCCTAGCCAATGTAATTGCAATCATACCAACTGTTACCTGCATTGGGCAGCAATCTTCCCTTTCCCCATTTTTAGGTCATTCCTCACAACCAAAACCTGCACCGAATTGCACACACCCAACAAAATGCTCAAATAGGCACAGAATTACAATTGCATTTCCAGCTTTCATTTTCCCCTCAACAGTAATTTATTAAAAACAGTAGCTGAACCAATACCATCTTAAAATCCTCGATAATATCAGCAAGTTTTTCGACCTCAAGAGGCTGTTTGCTCCGCGCATTCTTCTTCCTACTGTCGCCGTCGATTTCAGCATTGGTCGGAAAAAGAGCAGAGCTACGAGACGAACGGCGCGACCCGAATAACAACCCGATTGCAAAACATCCCGCCCCGATCAACAATGCGCTGAACCACGCCATCCCTACCATATCCAATTCCAAGGCCGCGCCCTGCACTGTACCCAAAAACCGCCATCGGTGTAGTTAGCTCACAACTTACAAACACGCAATGGGAAAAACTGTAAAAAAGGAAAAAAAGCAGAATAGTGTAATTGAATAATCAACAGATTCAGCCATGGGAGGGAGATGGGGAGAGAGATTACTTGAGATAAATAGCTCTGCAAAACCCTTCTCGAGTTCGAGAAGACGAATGGAATTCCGGCGCGTGGAAGTCTTTTCAGGTGAAAGTTTTAAGCTTATTGAGGAATCCTGAGTGTTCACATGCCGCGTTTGGATTTGCTGCATTATACTCGATAGGCAATAGGGCTCTTGCCTCTTGGGTTAACAAGTTTTGATAAATTTTCAGTTACAGCCAAACAGGTCCTTCAGTTGACACTTAATTTTTTTTTATACAGACATTTCCAATCAAAATGAGTTTTTTTAATTAACTAAAGTTAATTTAAAAAAAAAATGTTACAGTTAATTGGTAGTGAGATTTTGATTTTAAATTAAAAATATTTAAACTAAAAAATTAAATTTAATCAGGAACCATAGATTTTCGTCATGTCAGCATCCGAAACGTGAGAATCTACCACATGCCTTAACACGTTTTGAATTAATATATAGGGAGAGATTTGAGAAGATTCATTCTTTTGTGTTTATTATTTTTTTATAAGTTTCAATTGAAACTATCCAAGAAATATATTTGTGACTGAATATTTCAAAACAATTCAATTATAATTGATTAAATAAATTGAGTGAAACTCAACTTTCACGAACACAAATGAACTAATTTTTTTTTTTGGGTATAAAGAGAGAGGCTAATGCCTAAGTACCGGGAATCGGTACATGTCTAGGGTACGAGACCCCAACAATATCATGGTGTAACCATTCTCGAACTTCATCCGACGCCACTTCGAAGGATTGGAATCCACCCGGGCTCCTTGTAGCCACCCTCGCCATGCAATCCGCAACAAAGTTTGACTCTCGAAATTCATGGCATACCTTCACCGACCATTGCCTCTTCAACAAATCCTTAATAGCCAAGATTAAGTCCTATGTATCCACTGCTCAACATTGACACTTTGAATCATCAAGAAAGCACATAAGCTATCTACTTCCGAAATTACTCGACGATAACCCGAGTTCCATGCTAGTTGGAGCCCTTGGAGAAGCCCTCATAATTCCGCCTATGTAATGGAGCAAAGGCCGATATTCATGGTAAAACCCTTCAACCACCGGCCAAAATGGTCGCGTAGTACTCCACCGGCGCTAGCCATCCCCGACGACGGGTTAAAGGAGCCATTCGAATTCATTTTAATCCACCCCCAGGAAGAGCCCTCCATCTCACGTACACCATCTCCCGTCCGACCCCGAACCCACCCAACCGTCTTTCTCCCCTAGTAATTGCAGAGACATTACTCTTCCAAGTTTCAATTTCTTTCACAAATGAACTAATTTTAAACCAAACCTTTTTTATTTGTTTACCCAATCGAGAAAATTTAATCTATGGTAACTTGGCAAGTCTCACTCTTCTATTTTAACTTTCTCAGCAAAAGAAAATGCTTTTCTAAACAAATTGTATACACGTTTTTTCTAAACAAATTGTACATCATTGACGCGTTTTTGTATGGAAATGGATAATTGTATGCGTTTTTCGTCAACTTGGAACTGAATTTGCAGCATCCTGTTTGGAAAAAGCCCTTATTAAAAGCGGCTGACTCTTTATTGGTCTTCTTAAATTACACGCCAAAGCTCCCTTCAGACCACTATTTTTCTCCAAAGATCAGTTCGTCTTCAGTTTCAAGGTATTTTTACTGTCATCTTGATCGATTGATGTACAATGTAAATGATATGAACTACAAGCCTGTCTGAATCACAGGTAAAAGTTTGAACTTTCGATGTTGTAGCATTTTTCCCTGTCATGGATTTTACTATTCGATCTTCTAGATTTTTTTTCTTTTTTTTTTTCATTTTTTTGGGGGCATGTTGGAGTTTAAATAACTTCGCAGAATTCTTCCTTAATTTCATATTGATGGGCACGATCGGTGTGGCTGGAGGCCAATTAATTCCGAGAAAACTGCTTCATGATTGATTGAAGAGTATGATTGTTTTTTCTAGGGTTTTTGAATTCCTTTGTTACGATTGAAGTAGCAAGCGGGGTTTAATAGTGAATCAGAGAACTGTTCCCCAATTCTAGGGCCTTTTCCATTGAGAATTCAGATATATAAAGTCAGCATCTTTTTCATTTTTAGATCTTCATTTAAAGGATTTCAAGTATATTTAATCTTATTGGCGTTTTTTCCAGATAATTTAGCCTAACAATTAAAAAAAGAAATGAGTGATAATTTGATGGACAAAGTCAACTCCCTTGGCGAGCGCCTGAAAATCGGAGGGTCCGAGGTTGGGCAGAAGATCACAGCAGGCATGAGCTCGATGAGTTTCAAGATGAAGGAATTCTTTCAGGGCGCTAACCAAGCTGACAAGCTCGTGGAGGAAGCCACAGCCGAGACCCTTGATGAGCCCGACTGGGCCACGAACCTCGAGCTCTGTGATATGATCAACCACGACAAAATCAATAGTGTCGAACTAATTAGGGGAATAAAGAAAAGGATCATGCTGAAAAGCGCTAGGGTTCAGTACCTTTCTCTGGTCTTGCTCGAAACTGTTGTGAAGAATTGCGAAAAAGCCTTTTCGGAGGTTGCTGCTGAGAGGGTACTTGATGAGATGGTGAAGCTGATTGATGACCCGCAAACTGTTGTGAATAATCGGAGTAAGGCTCTCATGTTGATCGAGTCATGGGGGGAGTCATCAAACGAGCTGAGATACTTGCCCGTTTATGAAGAGACTTATAAGGTACACTCAAGCTGTTTAAGTGGTCTCAATTTCTTCTGCGATTTACTGTGAGAGTTCATGAATGGTTGAGCCACTGAATCGATAGCTGCATTTTATTTTCCTTTTGTTGTTTTTGCATGATGTTTTTACTTGGATGATTAATGTATTTAAACAATTTTGTGAAGATATGGTATTCAGTGACTATTTTTATGACTCAAATGTACACATGTTATGCATCGGGGGGGTGTTTGCTTTAAGTTTGCTTATTGAAGGATTAGGAACATTTGCTTAAGTTTGTGCTATCATATTACTTTGAAACCATTTTGTGGTAACATGCCATGGAAAATTTGGTCTCATTCAATATCTTTGATGTAATTGAAGTATAATGCTTGGTCTTGATTTTTCTTCTCTATTGTCCTCTCATCCTTCCTTTATTTGTTTAATTTTTTTTTTTCCTTTTTAGCATATAATATGCATGAAGCAACTACTGATTTTGTCCTCTTAGAGTTTGAAATCGAGGGGGGTACGTTTTCCTGGACGAGATAACGAGAGTCTGGCTCCAATATTTACTCCTGCAAGATCTGTTTCGGCTCCAGAACCGAATGCCCCACTTGCACAACAACTCCACCGCGATATTCCTGTGCAGACTTTTTCCCCTGAACAGACAAAGGAAGCATTTGATGTGGCAAAAAACAGTATCGAGCTTCTTAATACTGTTCTGACCTCTTCTCCTCAGCAAGATGCTCTGCAGGTACCC